ATGTCAACATTTGCAAGCAACGGGCTAAACGTGACTTACACAGGTGGCTAATCAGAAAAGGGTAAGTAACCGTTTTTGAGTGTTTGAATGTGATTGTTTTGCAGACCAAAACTGCAATCGTCATAAGCACATCTGAACACAGCGCAATATAATCGCACTCCACCGGCAGGCACTTTAGGAGGGGGACCGCAGACTAGAGAGCAATTAGCATTGTCGTTTAGATTTGCAGCTATTTTTGCCGTCTGTTCGTGGGCAGTGAGTGTTTGCAGGCTGGTCAAGCAACCCAGAATCGGTTGCATTGGCATTCCCTGAAAGAAGGGGGAAAGAGTGCAATCAACCTGCCGGTGTTGTCTACCAGTGCACCTTCCTAGCACTTCTAGCCGCCAATGTCCTCACTGGTAGGCGGTAAGTGAGTGAAAGTGAGTGAATGTGGACAGTGCGTCGGCCATTGGCGAACACTGTCAGTCTGCTGCTACTGCACCCAAAACCTGGCAGCCAGTCTACCAAACTTGGGTTGTCCGCACTTTGCTTTCCTTCCTGCCTCCTCCTCCTCCTCCCCAGTAAACACAATTAGGAAAATTGAATTTCTCTCCCTTTCTCACACACACTTTTGTCCCTAGTCTCTGGGAAGTCGCTGAAAATAGTCATCTTAATAATCGTCAGCAGTGCTCCAGTCACCTCCAGTCAGCTCTGCAGTCCGCCCCCAAATTGGTTTCCTTGCCAATACCAAATCAATCGATTTTCGATTGGCCCTCTCTGACTTGTGTGTACGTGTTTGTCTCGGTATTTCATTCCTCAGCGACACTTTTCGACCACCACAACAGTACAGAGGTGCTACTGCGGTAGACGAAAAGTGAGAAAACAAGCGCAAAAGAACTCGAGCTCAAACCTGAACCAATTCTGGTAGTCAGCGCCATTCGACAAGCAGTCATCACATTGTCCTGCACACATTCCCTCGTTCCCCGTCGCAGTCGAGTTGATCGATTTTACATTTTCAAAGTCAGCTTTACAACAGTTTTCAGCTGTCTTCACCTTTTCTTTTGATTTATACTCATTCATACGACGCTCGCTGTTGAACCCAAACTGCCTGCACTGGTTGAACCGAGACTGAACAATCCCTGCTGACTGAACAACAATGGGCTGCACAGGGTCGCTGTTCAAGAAGGCGCCCAAAGAGGATGATGCTCAAGCATCGGCAGAAGGCTCCGATGAAGCGGCTAAGAGTGACAATGCCAGCGCTAAGAAGTCTGCAAAAGGGGGAAAATCAGCAAAGGGCAAGGGAAAGGAGAAGAAAGAGGAGGCAGCACCTGAAGAGGTGAAAAGTACAGCAAACGGAAAGACGGGCGCCAATAGCGCCAAAGTGCGTCCGATGACGCCCACACCGCCACCAGCTAACAACCGTAAGCTTGATTGCTCCACTGAGAATAGTTGACTGAATGAATGAACGTATACCTCTTTTTCAGAAGCTGTGCCCAAGCCGGTGGCGTTTGATGTTGGACTGGATGAGCAAGACTCGGGAGCAGAAGCCACCGAGCCCGACGAGAACACGGTCACTTCGGACGGCTCCCGACTACGTTTGCCACGAAAGTTGCCCAAACTTTCCTCGTTGACAGGCAGAAAGGACAGCATCGGGGAGAGCGGCAACACCACCATCACCAGTGAGGAGATTCAGGACAAGCAGCGCAAAGCAGACGCCAAGCGACAGGAGATTCTGGAGGAGAAGAAGCAGAAAGCTCGAAAGTTTGTGGCTAAGTTTGGCAACAACAGTAAAAGCGCCAGTGTGGCTAGCAGCCAGGAGGAAGATGAGGACGATGAGGAGGAGCTGAGTGGTAGTCAGCTGAGTGGCGGAGGCATGAACGGTCTCGATTCGGGCCTAGGACTGGACAAGTACGGCCTGGATGGAGAGGGAAAGACTGACGACGAGCGGACAGCAACAGCCACCGCCGAAGGTGACTATCGAAGCAATCGCATCGACACTGCATCCAGTGCACCAGTTGTTGTCCAGGCAGAGGGAGAATGAGAGGGACTCCTTCAGATCGATCACTTTCGAATGTACACTCAACCCAGTTCCTATGGCCTTCATTGGGGGCTAGCCTTCAACACAGAACACACCTCTTTTCTTGCACTTTGTCAGCTCGAAATTGACCTTATTTGTAGTTATTAGACATGTGTAGTTTTATTTTATTATTTCTCTTTTACACAACAAAACAATAAAGAGCACGAAAACCGATAACAGTTTTTTTGAATTTTTGAATTTGTCTCCTCCCATTTCAACCATCGCTTGCCACCGGAGTGGCGCTGGTCACCAGCGCCGCTGGTGAGAGCGGTGCAGCGATGCAGTTGTCCTTGAACCAAAGAGAAGCAACAAAACAAACAGGCTCCGGTTGACTTTGACTCATTATTCACCTTCACTGCTCCATCACTTTCTATTTTCTATTTTATCCTAAACTCACTAAACCCCAAAGAAACTAATGGATCACTCGCCGATGTCACAGTCAGCTCCATATCATCTCTCATATGCGCAGACAGATCCTTCAACCAGCAACAATGCTTTTCAGAATGGCCCAAGACCTGAATGCTCTCAGACAGAGGCAGTGCCTTCATTTGCAGCCAACACGCCTCAAGGACTACAACAATCGAGTGCAAGTTCAGCTCCAACAGTTGCCACCTCATCACAATCATCCTCAAGTTCACAAGCGGAAGTTTGCCGAATCTGTGGTGACTTTGCTTCTGGTCGCCACTACAATGTCTTCTCCTGTGAGGGCTGTAAAGGTACTTAAAGCTAATAGGAGATTTGTTTTAACATCTAATAGATTTTCTGTATCTTTTTAGGCTTTTTCCGCCGAACTGTTTTGCAGTCAATGAAACACCCAAACAGTGAAGTTCATTATAACAATAGCATTCCAAATATTTACAAGTGCATTGAGGGCAATCACACCTGTCCTATCAGTGCGGATCAATCGCGTCGACGGTGCTGCAAGTCGTGTCGATATGAACGATGTGTTCTAAATGGCATGACATATGAAGCCAGTTCACTCGTTGAAAATGCCACTGCGTAAGTACTTTGGACAACAAACTTGTCTTTAAACATTTGTGACGTGACAAAGCTAAGCAATGAGATCTTTCTTCTTTCTTAAAGAAACAATGGCAGACAAGAAGAGAATAATAAAGACGGCGTTGGCTACCTGCTGCAAAAGCAGCTCTACACTGCATTTGACCAAAACTTCAGCATACTGCTCAAGCAGATTTTCAGCTTCTTACAGGATCTCTCTCGCTCTTCAGGCTCGATGGTTGTGAATGACAGAGCAAAAACCGCCATTGAGGTGCCCTTCCAGGCCCGATTTGCAATTATTGTCGAGAACTTGCGCACTTTTTGCCGAAGTACTCTGCAGGAGATTTGTAGCGAAATTAAAAGTTGGCGGAAAATTGACATTCACATCCAAGTATCACTGATATCAGATACTGTCGACAAACTAATTCTAATTACCTTGGCAATGCTATACGATGTTAAACAGTAAGTTTCATGTAATATGTTTAAATTGATGCAATTTCAATTCATCGTCTTTTGCCTTCCCTTTTTTTCCTTTCTTAGGCTCCCAAACCCTCTCTGCGAGAATTCACTCTTTTTCAATGATGCTCACCTTCAGAACGAATTTGCAAAGCTTCAAAAGTACATTCTAACACTGTCACATTGGTCTGTTCCAGTCCTCACGGCGCTTCCCGATGATGAAGCTTTTCCTATGCCATTGGAATCATTGACGGAAGAACTAGATACGCTCATTCATGATCACGACGCTCAAATTGCCCCTCAGTTAATTCCCTTTACACAGGGCTACTATCATGCTGATCAGTTAAAAAAGTACATTGTTAATAAGAAGAGAAAAGCAGCTGCAAAAATTCAAGCGAAACGAACTTTTGAATTTAAACAGCTTGAAGATGAAGTTGAAAACAATGGTAGTACAATCTCAGAATTATCAGAATCGGACGATTTGGAGAAGTTAAAAGAGTTTGAATTTGAAATGAACGAAGAAGTTGAAGAAATTAATGAAGAACAGCTTGCTAAAGCAGAACATAACAAGTTGATTGAACTGATACAAAAGTATCGCTTTATGCCAATGCTTTTGATGATTCTACTTACTTCAAAAGCAGGCGGAAAAATTGCTGCGAGTGAACTTCAACAGATTAACTTGATCAAAGGGAGCATTTTTGATATGTTCACACGTGACTACAGCTGGCTCAGCAAACATGGCGAGGAAATAGAGAAGATGGACACTGGCTTTGCAGGTGAAGGGATCGAAAACTCCAAACCGCCCAATGCCGTTCTAAACCAGATGGACCTAGAGCCGCCGCTAAAGATGATATCTCAAAATTCCATTGACCCGATTGCAAATCGCCACCATCTAGTAAAAGGAGGTTCACCGACTAGATGCGCCTCAACTTCGCCTGAATTCGCGGCCATTGCTCAGATTAATCATATTACCGACAAGTTGGCAGCTGAATTCAAAAGTCGTTTCAATTTATTGAAGGAAGAGCCTTAAACTTTTGTGAACTCTTGCTTATACAATGAGGCATGGGCGTGCTTCCTAAAACAAATGCAACGGATTTTTACTAATTCGAGTACGCCGAACAATCTGAAAAGTTTTCATGGTAGATATTTTGAGATAGTAGTCTATGGAAATTAATTTTTTTTATAAACACATTAAATGAATTTAAATGACGAGAACTGTACATTTAGTAGAATCGGCGGAAACTTTTTTTTGTATATTACTAGGTACACAACAGATTATCGCGAGCCAGAAGTGTGATTGACGTAGTTGGAGTAGTGAGCTTCTCGAAGCAGCACCACGTTTCCTGAAACCTTCCGTTCAAGATAATCAATGCAGTGCGGATGGAGACCGGTTATATTCTGTATAGTCCAAGCAGGCATTCCTAGGCGGACCAGGCTCTCGGCGTAGTCCATCTTTGCTTGCCACAAGGGATACGGCTTGTTCCAGTGGACTGCTCTCCAACGACGTTCCTATTGAAATTAGTAAGTTCAGTATAAGTAAGTTAATAGGAAAATTTATTTAAGAGCGATAAAAGTGACAGGACAAATAAACGGATGAAACTAGGGTGTTGCACTACTGCAAGTGTTAAGTAGTAAACAGGCTTCAAGGAAACTCCAGTAGTACCTGATAGTCGTGCCAGTTCATTCGCTTCGGGTCGTGCTTCGTGGATGTCTTGTAGCGAATATCTCGCTTTTTAAACTCCGCATGTTCCAGATAGCCACAAAACTTAATTTTTGTCTTTTGCCGCACTTGCTGGTACTGATGCGACATGCCCACTGCGCCCAGACCGGCGAGGCCTTCCACAGTGGCTGCCATACGGGCAGAGTTGGAGACAAAGGAGGCAATGAAACGATTCAGCATCTTCACCGAACACCAGAAAGGTTCAGTGGTTAACAAAGGAAGAGAACCAGTTAATACGACTTGGCAGACCAGGATTCTTGGTTGCACTCGGCAACTTGCAGTTCACAAATGATTTGTTTATTTTTTTGCAGAGGACAAAAACGTGTGCCAAAAAAGAGCTAATCACAAAAAACGTCTCGACAATTTATTAAAAAAATTTTTATTTTATCTAAATGTTGTTAGTAATCTGCATTTTATGAGGTAAGTCGTAAGCAAATTAAATACTGAATTGAAAAGTTCAAGTTACTCAAAAGAAAAGTTCATTCTAACCAACTTTGCGGTACAATGCTTCCTGAAGCCGCTTTCGGTGTCTTCTTTCATCTTTAAAGTTTTCATTCAAACGATTCATTTGATTTTGAATCTGTCGCAATTGCTCAAAAAATTCGTAAAGAATCGATCTTTCAGCAGACGAACTCAGCGACATTTGATTGAGCTTAGTTGCTAATGATTGCAAGCTGACAGCAGAACTTTTTGAGCCCTGAGCACCATGAGAGCCCTGACAGAATGGCTTGATTTCTGCTGGTGCTCCAACTGATTCAAATATTTCTACCAACATTTGGCGCTGTCCTTCTTGCTCCAGCTCTAAATCAGGCATGTCTAAAAAGCAAAGTTAGATTTTTGTAAAACAAAGTCAGTGCAAAGCTTACTTGAGCTGCTAAGTTTCCTTGTCTTTCCGCCACCAAGATCCTTTCCAACGCCAGGTATCTTCCGATAGTAAGCATCGATAACGTTGAGCAGTTGAATATCCTCATTTGGATCAAGTGATCCTGAACTTTGAACGCCAGATCCGGACTCCGGCCGATGGGGCGCGTGTGCGGTGAGAATTTTATCTGACCAGAAACTGCCTCGTCTGGGCAACATTGCAGTGGATGCATTTTGCAGTAGAACCTGCCGAGAAGGAGTTCCAGGTATAAAGGGTCGATGCTGTGGCAGAGGTGGCACTGGTGGCGGTGGCGTAGTCGGCGGATGAGGCGGCTTTCCGAGACCAACCGGAGGCTTGCCGATGATCGGTGGCACGGAAGAAGATACGGAAGAGCTTGACTGTGGCGAAGAGATACTGGAACTAGAGGAACCGGACGGCGGTGAAGTAGTCGTCAGACTAGATGAACTCGATGAGCCATTGATGGCGTTTCCCGCTCCAATTAGGTCTGGCATCGAAGCAGCACTCAGTAGGCGAATCTGCTTCTGTAACTGCTGATACCAGTCTTTGCATACCTCTTCATCATTGAACTGAACCACATACGTGAGCACCAGTTCAGAGTCTGATAGTGGATGAGCACTAAAGACAAAGGTTAATGAAGGTGAACGAACATTCTTTTTTACCGCTAACGCACCTGTTTCCTTGAATCTCCAATCGAGCACAGCTATCTCCTTGTTTAGTCGCATCGNGGATGAGCACTAAAGACAAAGGTTAATGAAGGTAAACGAACATTCTTTTTGACCGCTAACGCACCTGTTTCCTTGAATCTCCAATCGAGCACAGCTATCTCCTTGTTTAGTCGCATCAGCAAAGTTGATGACAGGCATTCGTGCTCGTTCAAGTTGAAGCATCGATTCGTAGCTAAATGAGGTCAGCTCATTGCCCACCGACAAAACCATGAGCACTTTGGCGAAAAGTACAAGGTAACAGTCTTTCTTTGGCTCAGACCAAGGTGGCAAAATTAAAATGGACACTGGCTCCATCCGCTGAATGTTACCGTAGGTCTCCACTTTTAGTCCATCAAAGTTGCGAATGTTACCCAACATCACTTCAAGCTCCATCTCTTTTCTCCGTCTCAACTCCAGGCAAGACATGGCAATTTCTCGGTACAGAAAACCTGCTCGCTGAGTGTCTCCTCTGTCAACATGACTTTCCTCGGTGTACCGCTGAAGTTCTTGAAGCAGAGCAGGGTACTTGTCGAGGCGACGAAAGGAAACGCTTAGTGAGCTGGTTATTAGAACATTAGGCGTGTTTGTCCCTGCAGTTATAGAGGGTGAAGGCGGGAAGGCACTGCTTGTCACTTGATGTGGGTGGGAAACGAAAAAGCTGCAGATTTCTTTCCTGATAAAGAAACACCATTATGAATATATGAACATTTTGTAAAAGATAAAAAACTAACTTGAACTTCTCGATTAGATGAACAAATTTTGCGTGGTGTGAGCAATACTCAAAGTGTGCGTGCTTAAATTGAGGTGCAAATTGAAGAAAGAGACCGCCGATTCGGTTTTCTTTTGGAGAAACTCTACACAAAGTCCAGACAAAAGATTTAGATTTTGTATGTTACAAACAAAAAAACAAAAAAACATACAGTTTATTCTTATCAATTGATGTTAAAAACCTCCGATGAACGGTACAGATTTCAGTGATTGACCGAAGTACGGCGTTGATTTCCGAATCGGAAGGGAAGCTGTTTGAAAATAATAATTAAATTTCTAATTCAGGCAGCCCCAATCTACTTACATTTTATACTGGTACATCGGCTTCAAGTACAAGTTTATTGCATCCTGAAGTTGACCGATAAATACATGTTCAGAGTCTTCAATGTCTTTGATGACAATTGCACGGTATTCGGTAATATTTTCGCCATTGTAGCCGAGGGACTGAGATTCAACTCCAGTTAGCGATCCCGGCT